GATAAGTACATACATAGGTATATACTTATGTATACACGTTCACAGGGCAAGAGCCGCGCGGGACTAGAGCTTCCTTTTGCGCGTGTAGCAAGACCTGTCCCGTCTTTGCAAAATGAACTTCTCAATGTTGGTCCAGAATTTATTAACGGCGAGGTAATCCTCCTTCCTCTTGTCCCGACTGAGTCTGATGATATCGACATTGCCACCTGTCAACAAATCGGACGGTATTATAACATCATTGAACATAAAAAAAAATGATTTGAATGGCTGGAAGAGCGCAGTAGGAATTTCGAACGGGTATTCATTTAAAATGTTTTTTAGCGACTCCTTCGATTTTATGATAACTGCAATGACACACTTCCAGTCCGTTTCGGTCAATTTCGAAATTTGATCATTTTCGATGAAGGAAAATTTTATGCTTTTTTTCTTGTTAAACATTTTGTGAATGATGGGTATGGAATTGTACGGCCCCGCTGTGCCGTCACCCCCACTACCTGTGACATGAGTCCCTTTCCGATTGGAGCCAGAGTTTTCCAAACGGTTATGCACAAAAAACGATTCCACATTGTTCCTATTAATTATGTGGTTGCTGCTCTCTTTTTCTATCAATATAATGGGTCTCTTCTTATACGTTAAGTGAATTTCGTCGATAAGTTTTAACGATTTTTTTTCCACCCCTGTTTTCATATGACCATCATCAATGATGATGTTTTTCTTGATTCCATTTATGTATACATTTTTTATATTACTCTTGTTGAGAAGCTCTCGTTCGAAAAGGTTATATATGCGACTGAAGTCACTGGAGTTTTTTCCTATCTGGTCATACGCGTCCTGCATGTTAACTTCTTTAAGGAGTACCGACTTGGTGATTTCTTCATTCGCCGTGACCTGCTCGTCTGATAATTTCATCTTCGAGATGGTTTTCCGGTCAAGTTTGCTTCTTACTACTGCGCAGTTGTTTTCTGTGAATGGAAAATTATTTTTCTGGTCGTCTTTTCCGTCCATTTGAGCGACATCTCCACCTGTGGTGACCGCCTCTTGCTGTACCACATCGGGAAGGAAGTCTTCCGGATCGGATAAGAATAATTCCTCTGGGGGGAGCGGACAACCTGCCTCGGCATTCATCCCCCAATAGAGATTCTCCTTAAGCGAAAAGTCATTAACAAAATTATGAACGAAGTTGACCAGTGCCCTATTTGCATCGTAGCACTGTTTGTCACGTACGACTTGCACATACTGAGCCAGCGAATGGTGAAAGAAAATTATCTTATCGTGATCATTGAAATTTTGGACCATTTCTAGGGGGATAAATTGGCCAACCAAAAATTTCGCATCTTCTACATCCACTGAATGGCCATTTGGACAATGAACATCGGATTGGTCGCCGCCCTCATTGGTTGAATGTTTTCCCTCTTCATTGTATTCATTAAGGCTCAAATCGAGATCCAGCATGTCGTAATCTGCAAAATTTTTGTACAAATCCCCCTTCTGATAAATATCTGTGTAGTTATGCTTGGAGTACCTTGTCAGAAAATCGTTACAGGTGGACAAAACCATGTGCTGGTCATTTTCCATAAATTTTATGTAATCCCTGTGAAACTTGTGGACAATTAATTTTACACACTGATCAATTTGCGTTTCATTTTGTGTGTTCCCAAAATAAGTGTTTTTTAAAACAGAATATAAATTCACATTTTGGAGAAAAACGTTTTTAAAAAAATTGTCTTTTCCGAAGTAATGCTTAATCATGTTTTGCAGGCTGTTGTCAGGGGTGTCCTCATGGTGGTTACTTTTATTTTGCCCATCCTTTTCACGACTTTGATTCTTTGTTGTTTTATTCTTCCTATCATGGGGGTTACCCACTTGTGTTGCTTCCTCTATTGGAACTTCTTCCCCAGTTTGGGCAACTTCCATCGGAGAATTCCCTCCTGAATGGTCTTTCCTATTCGCTGGGTGTGTGACATCCACTCTGAAGAAGTCATAATTGTTGTTCGCATCGTTCGCAAATTCCTCCATGGCGTTAACTTCGTTACAATTGAAATAGATTAACGGGTCGTACTCTTGGGAGGGGATATCACTCTGCAAGAAGTTGTAACCTCCCATTCTTTCCCAGAGGTCGATTTCACTGGGGATATGTCTGCTTTGTGGGCTCTCCTTCGCCACATAAAGGATTAGTGCGTTGTCCATTTTTTCTGTGTCACATACGGTTCTTATGCTATCGAAGGAGACGAAATTTTCCTTCGCAACAGGGTTGGCAGTACCTCTGTTGAGATCACTGCTGCTTTTTTCGTGATATGGGGGCTTTCTGTGAACCCCAGTTTGGATGCCTTCCTCTTTTTGAAGTTCCCCCCCTTCTCGCTTCCTCTTCCGGTGGCCAGGGCTAAATGTTTCTCCCCCTCCCTCCCTCTGTTTCGCCCCCGTTGGGGCACCTTTTGCACTACTTCCTTTTACATAGCCCTCTTGATTCCCCTTCTCATCCCCATGTTCATCCCCATTTTGATTCCCCTTTTCATTGCCATCTTCGCTATCCCTGTCCACGTCCCCCACGACGTCCAAATGAAAGAGGTCCACCTTTATGCCCTGATCCTTATCTTCCACGTCCACATAGTCATGCAAATCCAGAATTTTCTTCAAATCATACACAAAAAAATTTACTTTAATTTCGTCATTATCTTCATTGTCTTCGATAATTTTAATAATTTTGCTTTTCTCAAGTATGCTTATATATTTATAGCCAATAGAATTTATGTATGAAAAGGTGTAGTTACTCTTGGGCAGGCACAGGAATAGGTAAATGTCCCCTACATTGTACTTTTCTTTCTTCCTGCTTTCAATTCCACAGAGGATATTTGAATGTATGTAAAAGTTTTCCTTTTCGAAAAGTATGATATCTCTTTGATCTTTCTTCACGAATTTGATGTACTCCTTCTCCTCGCTGAGGAACTTCTTCATCAGGATTTTTAAGTTGAGTTGTTCGCTCCCCATTCTGTGTTCTGGTGTGGTTACTCCGGATATTGGGGGAGGAGAGGGGCCGCTTCACTCGTCACTCGGGATGGCTGGTGCTTGATGCGTCACGCGTCGTGGGCACATTGCTTATCGATCGTCATTGCACATACTTAAGCTTGTCATGCATCGGAACTGATTGCCTTGCTTCTCTGTTGTACTCCTGAGTAGTGTCACTCGGACGGGAAGAAGGCCTCCTCCTTTTTCTCCTTTTTCCATTTGGTCATCACCTGCGTTTTCCTGCGCAGATCTGCCAGCCTCCACAAGACGACTTTGGGCGCGCTCGTATACCTGCCGCGTTGCGTGCACTCTTGGCATGTCCCTTATGGGTACGCACAAACACGCATCAGGGATCACATGCGTAAGCGTCAGGCGCATTTCCGATCGACTCAATGCGGCTGGCCGTTGTGACTACTAATTATGCTTGCGCGTGGCGGCTACTATTTTGGCTTGTGCGTGGTGATTACTAGTTAAGCTTCCACGTTATGGTTGTGCGCACGGGCTCTACGCTGGCGCTGCGGGAATCCCCCCCCCCTGCCCGTATGGAGAACTCACAAGGGGGAAAAAAGTTATCCGCTTTTTGCAGGCGAACGTGGCGTGAAGGAGACGCAAAAGAGGCACAAAGATGGCACAATAATGGCATAAAAATGGCATAAAAATAGCACAAAAATCGCGTAAAAATAAGGCAAAATTACAGCGAACAGATGGTGCGAAAGACATTGCTCAAAAAAATGCGACACGCCCCGTGCGCTGCTGATGCGCTGCATCACATAAATGCTTACTGCTGAAGAGTTCTGCCCCTACAGGAAAAGGTATATAGAGGCACTATTTGAGCGGGACTCCAAATGGTGCCATGTTAACACTGCTTTCTTTTGAGCATTACACCTCATAAGGGGCTACCTTTCGGGGGCCAAACCTTCACATCCCACACTGTACACGCCAATTCGAGCGAACCGAGCGGGGAAGGAAACAAAAATGTATGCTGAAATGATCTACGGTTTTGTGTCGTGTCGGATTGAAGTGCTACGGACCTTCAGCTTTAGCATAACGTGTAGGTATATTGTGTTAAGTGTGACCAAAGTGACAATTGTTGGAGCGCTATACTTGATGGTATTTCCCCGTGTTCGTATTACCAATATGGGGGGATGAAATGGGATTCCTTTTTTTTTTTTTCTTTTTTTTTCGTCCACATTCCCCGAGTGGCTCTCTTCCCGTCCGCTTATTAAAGCGAAAAAGATGCCACACATCGGACCAATTTTGTAAACCCACATGCGGAATGCCAACACTTACGGAGCAGTAATTCGCGCCGGTGGGCCACCACAAAAGGAGAGGAGGCAGAATATCGCCATTGGGAGGAGGAACTTTCCACTGTGCGAAAAACGGCCATACAAATAACCACGCTTCTAGGACTTAACTACAGATGGGAAAAAAAAAAAAATTAACAAAACGATTGAACACAATGGAAGTTATGTGGTTAATCGAGTGTCCACTTTTTCATAGTAGGGTCAATAAACAAGGCAACAAATGGAATTAAAAAAATGGGAAGGGAAAAGTAACGAAAAGAGGCAAAAATGATTTGTCGAGAAAGTACACGCAGAGGGGTGTCTTCCACCAAGCGTGGGTGGGGTGCGCCTCTTAACGTGAACAAAAAAAAAAAAAGGAAGACCATCCTTGGTAAATAATACCTACGTAGTTGCGGCTAGACTGCCTAGGGGGGGTCATCTCAGACGCCTCACATCGGCAGTACAGCTTACAACTCCATGTAGGGCTCCATGTGGAACTCCCTTTTATCGCCCTCAAGCATAACGCAAAAGAAAAAAGGGCGGAACAAACAATCCGGTGAGAAAGAATTGACAAAAAAAAAGGAAATATCATAATTGTGTGAGTAGTTATGCGAATAAATTATTGAGGGGGAAAAGCGCGGGGGAGAAGAGGAAACCACTTCGCGTGAAGAGGAAAGTGGACCCACGTGTCTCGCTTCGCACACGCGACGCACCTCACTTGAACAAGGAGTCGACGTCGAAGTCGTCGGGCATGTCCAGCTGACTCATGGCGGACAGTACCTCCTCCTTCGAAATGTTGTGCCTCTTAACCAAATCTTTTAAATCATGGATAGTAACGCTGTTGGGGTCAAAATTCTTCTTAGCATTGGGGTCGTATAGAGCATTGTACCCTTTTATAACGTCCTTGATATCTTCCTTCACATTTTCAGGGGCATCAGCATTTAACAATTCGTGGTGGTCTACCTTTTCGAAGTTTTTTCTCATATTTTTATTTATCCACAGGACGAATTCATCGAAACTTTTTATGGCATCATTGTCTTCACTTCGAGATAGGGTCCTCTCCACCAGATCGTCCTCGTTGTTCCTTTTCTGTAAGCTATGTTCCAGAATGGCCAGAGCCCTCTTTGACGAACATGCTTTGCTATTAACGAGTAGGTCATACAAATGCCCACTATTATTTTTTGTGGAGTAGACCAAAATTTTTTGATTTTCGAGCTCCGTCAAAGCATTAATCCATTCCTCGTTCATCTCGTTAAATGCAATGGGGAATTCCTTTTTTTTAATCACATACTGGATGTATCTATACATATAATTAAGGTAAATACTTTTGAGGTCGTTTGGTTCGAAATACAATTCCATTGCGGGGTCTCTGCTTGGCGTTGTAGGGTCTGTACTCGCCATTGCAGCGTCGGTACTTGGCGTAGCGGTGTCTGTACTCGCCGTTGCAGGGTCTGCACTTGGCGTAGCGGTGCCATCCGATTGCTCATTTTTTTCTTTTTTCTCACTCACCTCCGGTGTGTAGTATTTCATGGCATTCAGCTTGTCGTACGTGTATAGGTATTCCTCCAGACACTTTTGCACGTCTGCTTTGTCATTATATTTAGCTTTTCGAAACTCTATGATTTCTTTGAACATTTCTTCATGGTTGTAGTTTGCGATTCGGTCGATCATATTGTCGATATCCATTTTGTCCTTCTCCGCCATGAATTCTTCTTTCTGTAGTGGAGAAGGGGTTGCTCCCGGGGTTGTGAAGTGGGTTGGAAGGGGCCCGACCTGGTGGTTTTCCTTCTTCTCTGGGTGTTCCCCCTCTAGGTGTTTCTCCTCTCTGTGTTTCTTCTCTGCGTGATTCTTATCTGTGTGCTTCTCCTCTATGTGCTTCTCCTCTATGTGCTCCTCCCCTGTGTGCTCGTCGCCAAAGTCGAAGGTCACTTTAGTGTCCCCTCCCTGGAAACAATTGGCATACTTGAAAACGACGGGCAGGTAGGCGCTCTTGAAGTCCTTCTTCAAGTAGAGCTTATTTTCCCTCTCGATTTTGTTATCATTGTAGAAGTAGAAAATATCGGCCATTTCTTTGAGTAATACGTTGGCCAGAATATTGACTGAATAGACATTGTCATTGATTAAAATTTTGGGACTTTCAAACGAGTTGACAAAATTCAAGTGCGTGGAAAGAGTTTCGTCATTTTTGACGAACTCGATTTGGACATTCTTTATTTTGTCTCCAAATATTTCTTTGTTGAAAAAGTGAAACAGGTTCTGCGTGACGGTGGATCTGTTTAGCTCTGTTGTTGAGCCACACTTCTTCTTCTCAGAGTCGTATAGGAAAATGAGCTCGTCAATTTTCTCCTTCGGTTTTGTGTCCTGGGTGCCACTTTCAAATTCGCTGACCGATTTCGTCTTGTTGGGGAAAATGTCAGATATCAAATTGATGAGAGTCCCAAATATATCTTCCTTCTTGATTAAGTTGATTAAAATAATTTTCTCCTTTAGCTTCTCAAAGTAATATTCAATCGAGCTTACGTTTTCGTTGTACATTGTAAAAATGAGATTATTGTTGGACGACTTGAGCTCTTCTAGTCTTTTATAGTACACAATTTCGCATGCATATTTGCATTTGTTCATAACTAGGTCAATTTCATTTGAGTTCATGTTTAGTAACACCTTTATGCCCTTCTGGAAAACCTTAAACAGATTTATGTAGTTATTTGTGAATAACGCGGAGGCGATGTGTTTGATGGGGATTTTCTTCTCCTTCCATGTCTCTTTGCAGTCATCCCTTTTTATGGCACTTTTAATGATTTCCATGATTCTTTTTTTGTCTATGTTTGCTCCTTTCAGTTTTAGGAAGAAGTTATTTAGGCTGTTATAATGCTCTACACCTTTCAGCAGCTCCAGCTCTTGGCTATTCAGGTACGAGTCCAGGTTGATCGTCTCATCTAGGAAGAAGGGCCACTGGTTGTATTCGACCACAAACCGAATGAATTGCTTTATTCTATTCATTTTGACGTAGTTGAAGATGTCCACATGTTCGTCGTCCACAGGCTGGTCATCTGTTTGCTCCTCGGCTAGGGGCTCTCCTGCGCTATCCACCTCTTTGATGTTGTCCAAGTTGATCTTTTCTGGGTCGATGTTCTCCTCTTCCGCATCTAGGTGATTCATCTCTTCCTCGTCTGGCTCTTCATCTTCCAGAAATTCCTCCTCCATCTTGGTGTCATCCTTTCCGTGGTTCCTTCCCGATCTATCACTTCCCCTTTCAGTGCTGTTCCCCTGCGTAGTTGACTCATCGTGCGGACCCCCCTCCTTTTTCATCTTGCTCTTGGCCTCCCTGACGGTCGAGTTGTCCGTGTTCCCTCCATACTTGTGCACGTAGGTGGTGTACTTCTCATACACATTGAGGCACTCGTCCAGGATGACCCTGGAGAGCACGAACGAGTTACTAACATCGTTGTGCACATAAATAACTACATCATTCGATACGTAATCAAAATTGTAATCGTAAAAACTTAGCCCAGCTATTTTGTCCGTAAATTTTATTACGACATTGTTTGGTAAGTCAAAACGGAAAAGGTACTTGGTGTAGTAGTTCAAAAAATAGTAGGCGATCTCTTCTCTATTTTTTCGCGTCAACATAATATTGCTTTTCATGGGGTAGGCAACTTTTAAATTATTCATCACGTAATCCATTTTGTTAATGTTCATATTTTCATCGTAGATGCTGACATCTTTGTATATATCTGTAATGACGTCTGTCTGTAGGATTCTTTTAAAGAAGTACTTCTCCTTCGTCCTGGTCTTCCTGATGTTTCGGAAGAGTTCCCCTATGACCACCATCATTTGCAGCGTCATGATGTTGTTGGTCGTTTCTACCTTTTCGTTTTTTTCATACTTTTTTAAAAGGCTCTCCACATCTTCATTTTCGTTACCGCTTTCGTGTAAAAAACGCATGCATGCGTACGTCAGGGCGTTATGTACGTAAGTTAAGTCGAACTCGTTTAGCTGCTTTAGCTTTTCGATCCCCTGCGTTAGAAGCTTCGTGGAATTGTTCACATCGCACAGGAAAAGGGAAGACGAAAATTCGTTCAGCGGTATTCTGAACCGCTGCAGTGCTGGGTTGTTCTCCTTCAATTGGTAAGAGGGCCCTGGGTTGGTTTTACTAGGGTCTGCTCTTACTCTTAGCGCGGTCCTGCTTTCTGCCTCGCCCGCTTCGGGGTTCGTGACGTCCGCGGGTGTACCCCACAGGTGGGCGACGTTTTTCTTCCTGTACACGTTGGTGGCCATCTGGATGGCTCGGTTGATGTCGCTGGTGACGTTCGATTTGAGGAGCAGCATTGTGAGGTCGTCCTGGTCGGGCTCGTCATCGTCCAGGGGGGGGGCATCCGGGGGGAAGTCGTCCAGATTGGCCACTCCCCGGTTGGTGGTGCTCACAGTGGTTCCGCTGACATTGATTCCGCTGACATCGGTGCCGCTCCCATTACCGCTGACATTGGAGGTGCTCACATTGGTGTCCTCCACGATGCCCTCTTCGGGGCAAAACGAAAGCTCCCTGTTGTATTCTAAAGGACGGAATATCTTATTGTCATACCCATTGATATCCTTAACGTAGGAGTAAAAGATAGCTGCCTCCTCGTTGTCCAAATTGAGGTCGCCCAAATAGGGAGCATAAAAATGGAAATCGATATTCTCCAGCAAGCCAGCAATCCCGTGAACAAACTTGATAATTTTCTGTTTCTTCTCATCGATTTTTTTGGACATATTATAATTTTTTACTTCCTTGAAGGGTAAAATATCCACGCACAATAATTTCTGGTATTCATACATGACCTTTAAGATGGTGTAATTTAATAACAGGGGAGACGTTTTCAACGCAGAGTGAAACATAACATTGGGTAAGTTTAAAAAGTGTTTATTCCCAATTCGGTACATTTTCATATTTGGAATTTTCTTCAGTTTCTCCACTTTGTCAGTTACCCAAAAGAAATTTATCGAGTCAAAATTTGGCAGTTCATTGTTGAAAATTTTAAAATTAAAATAATTCCACATGTTCATTATATGTCTTTCTGCTTCTTCATTATTGTGTAAAACATACGGAGTTGAATAATTTATAATTTCCTTTTTCTTGGACAAATAATCTTCCAACTCTGTTTCTCTAATTTTGAACATTTCTTTCATTTTTTCTATGAAGTGTGTTAATATATTTATGATTTCTTCAAATTCGGATGCTAGCTCTATGTAAGTTTCGCTATTAATGATCTTGTTGCTTGCACTTGGCTCTACATTGGAGTCAGTCTCGATCTCCATTTCGTTGCTTAGTTTCACTTGGAATGTTTTGTATACTATTTTTAAAATGTAATTTTTGATATACCTCAGGATGAACATGAGGAAGATTTTATCGTCCAAGTTACTTTTCAGGTGTTGTCTATAGTAGTGATGCAAATGCTTGTGCATCGCCAGCTTGATGGATTCCGTTCCCTTTTCGAGGAAGTCGTTGAAGGCATCCTTCCCCATGTATATGGAACTGCGCAGCGACTCCGTCGGGAAAAGCATGTTCGCCCGCAGCGCGAAATTGATATCGGACAGCTGCCCCACTTGCTCTTCGCTGAGCACTGATTCCTCATAGGGGGCCCCGTCAGTGGCTGCGCTATTTTGCGTTACGCTATTTTGGGAAGGCCAGTCTCCACTCTTCTCGTCACAGCTGGTTGGTGGGTCTCTTGTCGCGTCTGTTGCCCCGTCTGTTGCCACTTCTCTGGCCGCTTCCCCCTTCCCTCCCACGAACATATCATAGGTCATTTTTCCGCTGAAATTTTTCGTCAGCGACTGACACGCTTGTTCGCTCTCCTTTTTGTTCAAAAATGGGACCAAACTGACGGAACACCTGTCAGTCAAGATGAAATCCCTTTTGTAAAAGTTAGAATTTACCTGATATATCTTATAGTACTTCTTTGTACTGACGCACTCGTGTGCTACGTCGTAGTAAAAGCAGTTTTCCTGCGAAAGTTGCAGTCGGTCACTCCATTGCTGAAACCTCATGTTTTCATTTATTTCTTCTTCGTTTAATATTTCCCCATTTAGGTACTCTTGTTTGTATTTTTTCCCTTCTACGATGGCGCCTCCCTTTCGGGGGGGTTTTCCCTGTTGCCAGCTCGACACATGATTATCCACGTCATCATTCCTTCTGCGTTGCTCCTCCAGAAAAACATTTTCTTCACCACTGGCTGAAGCGTTACTACCTTGCGTGTCCTCCCCATTTGGGGAGCTCCTCAATTTAAGGCGATCCTCTTTCTCTATTCTCCGCACAAAATGAAGACTGGGATTTATTTCATACTTGGAGGTGCTTTTCCAGATGGCTGGTTCGATAAAATTAAATGCATCGCTCAGTCTCTTAATTTTTATACCCGCATTTTGGGGAAGGACGTGAAGTAGAAGGAGGATTATGCTTGTTATGGTTGCAAGTGTGCGCGTGCGTTTTGACATTTTCTGCTTCGGCGTTGTTAGCGGCTACTAGGCTGCTGCTGTCACCGGGACCTCTTTCGCCTCTTCCGATTCGTGGCAGTTATGGGCTCCTCTGCGCTATTCGCGTGTGTAGCATTGGGGGCGACGGTGCAGGAAAGGCGATTGTTGCGGGAAATACGGGTGGGGATTTCTCCGGTGAACCATTTCTTCTTTACCTTACCAAAAAAGGTGAGAAAAAGAAAAAAAATCCTAAATTCGTTTAAACAAAGTACGGCCTTATCTAAACAACTGGCAAAGGAGTAAATCCCGCAGTGTGCCTTTCTTTGCCCTGTTTGTAAAAGAAACAAGGAAAAAAAAATATCGACTTGTAAAAGTTCCAATTTTCTGAACTGATATACGTTATTCCTCACATGGCAGCAAAGAACACACCCCTTTTGTTTGTTCCCCCGAAATGGCCTACTTTGCTCTGCTCCGAATTGGTTCCAAGCACTGTATAGGATTTATTAAATAGGCAAACTGTGTATACATATATATGCTGAATGCAGTGTTCATCCCCTGGTGGGTGCTCTTCTGTACATTATACATTCCTCCAGGGGGAAATCCTCCCAAGTGATTTCCCCTTTCCCTGGGGGGAGGAAAGGGGAACAAAAGGGTTGCCCGTAGCGTACCTGTGCCCATCCCACATGCATTAAATGTATTGCATTTTTCAGCCACACGCAGTTGTTTTATAAAATACGGCATCTGGCTATATCTTCGCGAGAAACGAAAGCGCGGAGTATACGCTCAGACCATTCTGTAATAGTTCTTCGTAAGTCTTAAATGCTTCCAATGTGTTGTGCTTTTCTATGTAGAGAAGATTAAAAAAAAAAAAAAGGTATATGTATAGAGTGACCCGACTGTTGGATGGGGCATTATTATACTCTTCCTCCATAGGTGCTAATATCCTCGAAACGGTCAACACATAGATTTTTTTTTTTTTTTTTTCTTTTTTGTCTTCGCCAAAGGTAAACTTTTTAAAACAACAAATTATACTACCCAAATACAAAGAGAAAAAACAACGCGCTTGACTTCACAACGCGATTAAGCGTACTTTACCAAATTCGCAGCATCACGAAAACGACGCTAATATCCCTCAATTTAGCGAGCGCTAAAAGTCGCTTGAGCAACTTCCTCACATTTTTCCACCAATAGGTATTTTTTTCCTTTTTTTTGTCCCCTACTGATGCTATCACTGTAGAATTCACACACGTTCGCACGTACATGTAGATCTGCCCCTTGTGTATGAATCTGCTGCGCGCTTATTTCTCCACACGAATGTTTTTTCTCTTCTCCATCGCGTAGATCCCCCAAGACAGCGGCCAAAAGAAGAAAAAAGAAAAAAAAGGCCACTTCATCATCAGTAACACTATCACAGAAGAAGCTGAAAAGGAATTTTTTTTTTGCTGAACACTCCGCCGCTTTCCCCCCCAACATGTGCGAAAACAAGAGCAAGGTAAAAGATTTGAGCTTAGCCCCCTTTGGGAAGCTCCAAATGCAGATCTCTGAAAATGAAATGCCAGGAATTATGACAATCCGAGAGGAGTACGAAAAGGTGAAGCCCCTTAAAGGTGCAAAAATAACTGGATGTTTACATATGACGGTTGAATGTGCACTGCTAATCGAGACGCTACAAAAGTTGGGAGCCCAAATAAGGTGGTGCTCATGCAACATATACTCGACAGTAGACTACGCAGCTGCCGCTGTGAGCACGTTGGAAAATGTAGTAGTGTTTGCCTGGAAAGGGGAAACATTAGAAGAGTATTGGTGGTGTGTAGAAAGTGCATTGACATGGGGAAATGAAGAAGGACCAGATCTCATCGTTGACGATGGTGGTGATGCAGTGCTGCTAGTACATAAAGGTGTCGAATATGAAAAGTTGTATGAAGAGAAGAAAACTTTACCTGACCCTGAGTCAGGAAAAAATGAAGAAGAAAAATGTTTCCTCCGTTTGTTAAAAAAGTCCATTCTTAAGAACCCCAAAAAATGGACAAACATTGCCAAGAAAATTATCGGAGTGTCTGAAGAGACTACAACAGGAGTGCTAAGATTGAAGAAGATGGAGAAAAATCATGAACTCCTTTTTACAGCCATAAATGTAAACGATGCAGTGACGAAACAGAAGTATGATAATATTTATGGCTGCAGACATTCCCTCCCAGATGGATTAATGCGCGCAACTGATTTCCTCATTTCAGGAAAAATTGTTGTGATATGTGGATTTGGAGATGTTGGCAAAGGTTGTGCTTCCTCTATGAAAGGCTTAGGTGCAAGAGTATACGTCACCGAAATTGACCCTATTTGTGCCATTCAAGCTGTTATGGAAGGCTTTAATGTAGTTACCCTAGACGAAATTGTAGAGAAAGCAGATTTTTTTATCACCTGTACAGGCAATGTTGATGTGATCAAACTAGAGCACCTAATGAGAATGAAAAACAATGCTGTGGTGGGAAACATTGGACATTTCGATGATGAAATACAAGTTAACGAACTTTTTAATTGTGAAGGAATACATATTGAGAATGTGAAGCCACAGGTTGATAGAGTAACTCTGCCAAATGGAAACAAAATTATCGTCCTTGCTAAGGGGAGACTTCTAAATCTTGGATGCGCTACTGGTCATCCTGCTTTTGTCATGTCCTTCTCCTTTTGTAATCAAGTTTTTGCACAACTAGACTTGTGGGAAAACAGAAACAGCTCCAAGTATCAGAACAAAGTGTACTTGTTGCCCAAGCAGCTCGATGAAAAGGTTGCCCTTTACCATTTGAAGAAACTCAATGCTTCTCTAACGAAGTTGGACGACAAGCAGTGCGAGTTCCTGGGCGTCACCAAAGGTGGCCCCTACAAGAGTGACTCCTATAGGTATTGACGGCGGGGTGCAATCCGTCATTGCACAGTCTTCCATTGTGCAGTAATCCATTGTGTAGTTTCCCAGCGCATTGCCGTTCCACCTCGAACCCCCGACACGGGACATCCAAACGGGTAATCGTTGCCCCATTGTTGCAGTTCACCATACCGTTCGTGGGTTCGCGAGGGAAGGCACAAACAGGTTAAAAAAGTATACTTATAACAAAAAAAAAAAAAAAAATATATACAAATAAGCACAACAAGCGGGTGAAGCGCGCGCGGAAAAGCAACGCAGTGGGGGCACAACCTACCGCGTAGACGTACTTACATCAGCATAGTATATCCACTTTCCACACGCGCCTTCCACACCCGCTTACCCACGAGAGCATCCCGGCACATGTACGTCCCCACCGGTGTCGCCTCAAATAAAAAAGATAAAAATTTGCCCATGAGAAATGGTCGCACAACCAAATTTGCAGTCGAGTGTATTTGGCCGTTTTTTACGCAGAAGAAAAAAATGCATGTGTTGCGTTTGCCGTTTGGCAGATTCGCTATGATTTTTGTTTTTTTTATTTGCTAGCCCCCCGGAAGATGACTCCGTTCCGGGTGGCGTTCGTACCTATGTGCTTCTGCACACGCATTTTTTGTGTATTTTCTGGCATGTGCCTTTTTTTAAGCGCATCTGGACATATCGTCTGACGGCGCTTTTATATGTACCTTGTGGCATGCAGATCCAGTGTACTTCTTGGGCATGCGCCCTCTCGCACGTGCGTGTGCAAAACCATATTTTAACTGTTCATCCTTAAACTGAGCTCCAAACACAAAGCAGCAGGCTGCGCACCGTCCCCCGGACGATGATATGGAATTTTTTTTCCTTTTTAACCTTCTAGTGATCCACACGGGACATGACTTAAACAAACCCTAGGGGCAACCCCAGCGATTCCATAATTTTCTCCTCCTCAAGCTTTTCCTTAAGCTTCCTATCAATTTCTTCCACTGTCTTAGTCTCCAATATTTCATCCTCATCGCTATCGGACATTTCCGCGCTTCCCAATTTGGTCCCCTTCTCAGTTTTTACGTCACTTCGTTTATCATTTGTATCTTCCACTTTATCTTCACTTTGGTCAAAATGTGAGATATTTTTATTTTTGATTTCCTCAACCCTTTCATAATGGCAATTGTCTCTTAGTTCTGTTCTTCTGTAACGTCCTCTTCTGTTTTCTGACCATCCATGTCCATCCCATTTATTCAAATGGCTGTTCTGTCCGTGATGATATCCTTGGTCATCTGCATCATTGGGATGACTATAATGTCTTCTGTGATATTTCCTGTTATGGTTATAATTGGCTTCATTCTCCTCGTCAGAAAAATTCAATTCTTTCCTTTTCCTTCCTCCATCTCGATCCCAGTCCCTGTCTCTATGCCTTTCTCTATACGGGTCTCTATGTTTGTCCATATGTCTGTAATTCCTTCGATACTGTATGGACCCTTCTCTCCCATCGTCGTCATCTTTTCTGTGGTGATATCTGTGAGATTCGTATCTGCTACTTTTCCCTCCTTCCCAGGCTCGCTCCTTGCTGCTATCGCTGCTACGCCCAAGATGGTGCGTATGTTCGTATCGACCTCCGCCCCTGTGTCCATGTGTACGAGCATGTCTGTCCTCCCATCTGTTCACTCGGTTATCCCCTTTATGTTCCCGATTTCCATCATCACTTTGGCTGTCCTCCGATCCTCTTGTATCGTATTTATCGCTACTTCTCTTTACCTTCTCAGACACGTCAATGTATTGAAGTTTGCTCAGGTCGCTATCGGAGGAAATCGATTCCTTTTCGTTTGCGTCAACGTCACTGTGTTCACAGCTGTTTTTTTTCTTCGGTGAATTGGTATTTTCCCCACCCTTCTGGGCATCATGTGTGTCGTCTTCTTCACTAGCGTTGTTATCCCCTTTCGATTTATTTTTCTTTTTTCCCTCTGTGCGGTGCTTCTTTGCCTTTTTTGCCTCCTTTGCTTCTTTTTTGTATTCCTTGGCTCGGCCATCATCATAGCTATCATAGTCGTCGTCGTCATCATCTCTTTTCCCCCTTTTACTCTTTTTATGAATTTTTTTTTTTCTTTCTTCTCTTTTTTTTCTGCTGGACCTTTTGGTGCCACTTTCGCGGGAACCTGTTCTGTTCGTGCGTTCGCTAAGCTGTGAATCAATAGTTTGGCTGGTATTGGAGCTTTCCTGTGAAGGGGCACTCGAAGAATCCCTGCTGGCGCCCTTTCTGATGGAAGTTGATCTGGCGGATCGTTTTCTTCGTCTTTTCTTTTGAGAAGATTCACGCGAAGGAGTTGGCGATTTGGATACCCTCGAATCATCGGAGGAAGATTGACTACTCGATTTGTTGCGCTTCTTACGAATATGCTCTTTTTTCTTATTTTCAGATTCTCCTTTTTTTTCTCTTTTTTTGTCATTCGTGGTTTTATCTTCACTCGCTATACCCTTTTTTGGGACCCATAGTCCTTTTTCGTTTTTCATTAGATTGTTACTTTTTCTGAAAATGGAATAGGGGACAAAAAAAAGGTGAATACAAAAAGGGTTTGCATAAGCATGTAGAGGTAAGTTTCGCTTATCAAGAGTGACAACGTTGTAACTGGACACATAGAGGGGGGAGGTCTGGCCAAAAGGGGGGTGGTTAACCAGACGATACGGACATAAGAGAAACAAAGCAAAGCATCTTTCTCCTCTTTTTCACTCAATTCTGTGTCATACCTCAGGTGTACGCTGCTATCATGTGCATCGCCGTCGTCTGCGGGGCCCCTCTTTTTCAATTTCACTAAGGAATGGGCGAAGTCCCAATTTCGATGTTTTATTAGCTCCGTATCATCCTGCTCCTTCAGAGACTTTTCCTGATTGTAAACGGGTACTAATTGGGGCATCTTAAGTTCAAGAAAATGCTGCACCTGGGTGTCTCTCCGAGGAGACTTTTCTTTATGATTCCCTCTGCTTTCTGACTTAGGAGCAGCCGCGGGAACATTTCATTATGCGGAAAAATCACGGGAAGGAAGGTTCCAATTCTGTGGGATATCATCGAATAGTGGGAATAACTCTATGTGAAATCTCTTCCCTTCCAAATGTGGTTCCTCCTCTCTGTGTGTTTCCTCTTTTACGACTCGATGGGACGAAAAAGGGAATAATTTAAAAAAAAAAAGAAAAATTCGAAATGGTGCAAAGGTAGGGCTACTTTTGTAAAATGAATTAAAAAAATGGGAAAAAAAAAAAGAAAAAAAGAGTTTACAAATTGCTTTTTGTAGCTTTCCTGTTAATTTGCCTTCACAAATTGGTTAGAAATGGTATCGCGGAAAAAACACGCCAGTTGGGTGACGTGGCTGGGTCGACCAGTTTAAAGCGGAAGCGGGAAATAGTGGAAAGAAAAAGCACAAGAGTAACATAAGTGAAGGGACCTTTCTTCTCCTAACCTTTTTATAATTTTTTCTTTCTCATTTTTTTTTTTTTCTCATTTTCCCCATTTTGAGGAACCAATATGTACCACTATAGGTAGAATTTATAACTTTCCCCCTCCTTTTGAATAAGGTGTACCTTTATAAAACGCTTGTATTCCTCTCTCCATTGAATTCATGTAAGAAAATTTCCCTAGCGTTTGCGCTGTTATATTTCGTCGGGTATCACAACATTGTATCATCTCACGGTGCATTAAGCCACATGCATGTGAAAAAAAAAAGAAAAAGTGGAGAGAAAAAAGAAAAATCATTTGGATGATATATTTAACAGGGGAAAACTCCAAAGCGAAATGTTCTTATCATAAAAAAAGCAGCGAAATAAAGTGAAGATGTGTTTACATTTAAAGTTAATGTGTAACTCACGAGAAAAGTGGGTGAAATGTTGTCTTTTTAAGCGTTTCGCGTGTGTTTCCTCCACGCGGTTAAATGGGCAGATGTATCCATCGAAAGGGAGGGCGCCTTACCTCAGGTGCATGCTTGTGATGGCTACATCACATGAGGTGTAGCGCAGACAAGCTTAACCCGTCACAGAAACGTGTTAATGATCGTGTTGCAGACGTCCAGCCGTTTAACGTGCTTAGTCCTGGTGTAAGTTGCCTTCAAATCTGCAAGGACGTCTAAGAGGCAAAAAATTCGCAAGGCGCATGTGTATACCATCTGGCGGGGTGTGCATACCCACCTCCCCTGCGTGCATTTAGGAGCAAATGGGAGGAGGAAGAAGTTAGAGGAGGCACAACTGGGAGGAGGCGCAAACTGACATATTGGGTACCTCCATAATTAGCGCTTAGGACCGACAGCAAGAGGCTGAGACAACTGCAGAGGGACTCCTTCACCAGATTTCTCTTTTCTGCGCATAGGGGAGAGGGGCAGGTGAGGGAAGAATTAAAAATGAATGCTCCTATACGCACACGCTTTTTCACAAATAAGTCGGTGCACGCATGTACAGAAGAACATCGAAGTGGAGGAGACCCCTGAACAGACGCGGCGAATCCTCCCTTCCACACACACCACTCCCATCACTTACCATAATTGAAAATCACGTTGTTGACTATATTGCAAAATGTGCCCTTATCAAAGTTGGCCGTTCGTTCAGCGTTTTCGTTGCAGTTCATCTTTATTAAGGCACCGTTAATCAGGTCCTCGTTTTCTAGATACAGCTGCAGGATGGGAGGAGTCAAAATGAGATTACTCTCATAAAGAACAAACAGGCCATTTTTTTTTTCAATTATCATGTCCAAGTGCCAGGCAAAGCGACTACCAAGTGGAGTGACATCCACGCAGGTACATATTCTCTTCGTATAACCATTATGATCAAATTGAAGAGGGCTATCAGGTGGTCCTCACTAATTTGGAGGGGATTCAAAAAGAACTCGTTCGAAAGTCCCACACTGGTGCTTGACAGGAAGGATGACTCGTCAGCAGTGTCTACAACTCCGATTTGGAAAAACTCATCCACAAAGAATAGCAAACAGGAATAAAGCAAAATAATGAGAGAATTCCTCTCCAGGACGCGGAAGGGAATGTGATAAACACCATGTTCGAGTATGAAAAAAACGAGGTCATGAGATTTAAAATAATTTTCCAAATTGGTGTGATCATATTTTATACCCTCTATGTTGTGTGTCTCTTCCTTCTGAAAAAATGACTCTATTTCTTTTACGAAATTGTTTTCTTTCTGATATGGGTTAGTGTCACTGTTACTATGTGATCTTTGCTCAATTTTGTCGCTACCACGTGGAAGGTTTTCTGTGGAAACTTTCCCGGACTTATGATCGCTTAAGGGTTTTACAACGGTCGAACTGGCCAAATCCCCCTGGTTCACTTCATAAAAGTAGTGAAGAATAATCGGGTTCAGAAGAAACATGTGAACTCCTTTCAGTAGGGCAAAAGAGTATCTAAAATAGATGTGGGTATTCAATATGAGATCATTATAATCGGGGGAGTTTAAAATTTTCTTCCTTAAGGAATATAGCTCTGAAAAGTTGTTTTTTTCAAGGAGCATATCTTCAATGGTTCTTTTATACAAATTCGAGATGGTATAACTTCCCTGTTCTTTAATTTTCAATATTTGTAGAACTCGTTTTTCTGTGCCATCAAAAAGGGTTCTAAAAGCTTCATGTATTTTTAGGTGGCCTATTTCTTCTTCCTGGTCTTTCAGCAGCACAGACAAGCAGGCTAACGACTTGTAGTATATTAAATAAATGCAGGTACTTACAAAGTAGAACAGAATATCCACCTCGGTATTCACCTGCTTCCTGAGTCCAATTTTCTTCCCTATGTTTATATGGTCCAGATATTTTATGTCCCCATCGTTGTTCATATATTTTTCGTAATTTATGTGCAGGTCATTTAGGACATGTTTGCAGAAAAAGATGCTTTTCGCTTCTCTGCACTCGACTATATCGCACAGCTTGCTGACGAGGCTGCAAAAGGGGGATGGTGATGAAGAAAGAAGTTGTCCAGTGAAGCACCCTACAAGGGGGTGGCAACCCCATGCATAGGCAAAGATGTAAGGGTGAAGAATCAACGTTACGCCCGTTCATTTTCCACATATGTGAGTCACCTCTCCTACCTCGTGCGCTTAATTAAGAACAAAAAGGAATAGGGATTCTTCACCTCAGTGAGGAGGTGCAACACCACTTTACAGGTTTCAATAACGTTGCTGAATGTTTCATATATATTCACATTCTTGAACATAAAGAGTAGAAATATTGTACAGGCGTATTCGAGAAACACATGTTTGACCTGTTTGGCATTCTTGTCTTTGCCTTCCTGGTGAACATCATATAAGGCTAACTCTTCGTTGTAAAGTACCACTTTGGTTATGTTCTTTTTGTTTTGGTTCAGGTTGAACAATTTAAGCATGATTTTACACAAAAAGATGGAAAAACTTTGGTCATAAAAAAACGTCTGCCTTTTAATTATGTACTGAATTAAGAAGTACACATACTGTGAATTGTAGAGAAATTCGTCTGGCAGGATTTGCAAAATTGCTGTCTTCTGATTTATGTTGTCATCTGAGATAGTGAATATTTTGTAGAGTATTTCCGACCCCACGTGGATGTTTATTTGCTCTTGGCTCATGTCTAATTGTTCGAAGTTTTTTATCCTTTTTATTCTGCGTGGAGGTGGACATAGGATGAGGAAAAGGGCAAGAATGGGAAGGGAAAATTTACAACGTGGTTTATTTTGTTTTTTTTTTTTTTTTTTGAACGGGGATATTTCCACAAAGGATCATGTTTTCACAATTCGCGAAATTCGTTTTGTGTTCGTAGAAACTTCCGACCACGTTGCCCACAGAAATTTGTGTTGTGGGAGGGACAGCCGAATTCTCCCATTCAGCTTCTTTTATCCGCACCTGGTGATATAAAAATGAATGTTCAACACATCCACCGGTAGGTAGAAGTTCCTGTTCAGGCAAATTTTGTCCTTTCCTTTGGTTAAGTCTTCTCTAACGTCTTTCACCTTGTTGAATATAATGTACAGTAGTATTACCAACTGGGTGATGTATTTCTCATCCAGAGTCGCGTACGCGCACTCGCTGCTCAGGATGGTGTGGATTATCTGGATGGGAGGTGTGCGGGAGCGGAAAAGGGGGTGGCGCGGCAAGTAAGGTAATACGACAAAGGGGGCTATCTTTCCAGAGGGACATACACCTTAGCGTAGTAGCCCAAAAGACACAGCCCTCGCACACGACTAATGGTTTAGGCTACCTCAGGGTCGCGTCCCCCACATTTCCCTCTTTACCCATTTACAGCTTTACCCATTTTCCGCTTTACGCAATTGCCATACCTGCAGAACCAGGAGGTACCTCTCCACATGCTGCGCCCCATTTAGGACGCCAAAAAAAAGGCCTATAATTTTTTCCTGCACGAGGACAAAACTGGGATGAATCCCTTCGTGGGTGAGTCCCCTTCGACAGACATCCTTATACGTTTCTATGGCCCCCATCAAAATTTTGTCTAAAATATAAAGACAAGTCAGCGTGACATTCTTTTGATTATTCTCCTTTACATTTTTGATGTAATTTTCTAGGAAGAAATAGTAGTTGGCTGGATTAACATAAGAGCCCACGAGGTAGAGGCAGTTCATATAAATGAGCCAACGCTCTTCGTCTAGCTTTTTTTCAAATGCAAAAAGGAGATGTGTAAAAAAGTGGGGAAGATGTTCCGTTACATTTTCCTCAATGAAATAAAATAGTAACAAAATAATTTTGGAGTTCTCCAGTGATTCCAATTTATTCGTTTCATCCTCTTTTTTTATATACAGATGTTTAAAGTAGGCATTTAAAATGGTGGAGGATAGTTGCTTGCACTGTTTGTTCATTTCGTTGTGTGTAATTTTTATTTGAGTAATTTTGTTTTCTCTGAGGATGTCCATAATGTGTTGATTGCTCTGGAGAAAATTTTGGAGCAACTTCTCGTGGTACTCTACAGAATATTCGTCTTCCCTCATTTGGTCACGTTTGCCCCTTCTGTGGGGGTTATCATCTTTTTCGTTCGTCTCCTCATGGGGGTATTCTTCCTCAGGGGGGTTCTCCCAACTGTTAAGTCGCTCTTCCTTCCCGTGTGGGTGGCAAAACATATATTTTTTTTGACCACCCGGTTTGTCTTGTTCCTCTCTGTGGGCCTCTACAACGATTCCACTTCCATCGTTGCAGGATGAATCCACAGCAGCTACATTTAAGGTGTACATATTTTCCTTCATCAGAAAGGAGCTACGACAAAAGGGAGGAAAGTAATAATCCGTCAGGGGCAAAGGCAAAGTGAAAGCCGTCTTGTAGGACCACTCAGGGTTAAACTGGTAAATAATTTCATCATTCATATTTTGGTCCAAGTCGAATCTCTTCCTTCTGCATATCAATTGGATGTACAAAAAGGACACCAATCTGAATATTTTGTAATTATCAAAGCAGGCCGAAAAGAGGTAGGGCAATAAAAAGGTATCAAACTCGTTTGACTCATTAAATTCGTAGATCAATATAAAGAGGAATGAGTAAAATTGAAACTTCACTCTTGTGCTTCTATCATTATATAAGTTGCACAAGTAATTTATATTTACATACGCATTGTCGTAGAAACTTTTTATCGGAACCACATTGGGATCCTTATACCCAATTAGCATTTCAATAATTTTGTAATTTTTGGAGTTACTATTATGTAGAATTAGCTTCACCAGTGTCTTCATGCATTTTATTTTCACTTTACTGTATTTGTTGCAGAGACACTTGAGTAAGCAGGTGCTGATGATGTAGTGGTAATTCACATACTGGTCTTCTACTTGCTCGATGGTTTCCTCGATGAAGCTCATCATCAGGCAGTTTATTTCGCAGCAGTGGTCGAAAAGACCCATTAAACACACCCGAATTATCTTGTCCGCATGGTTCATGAACTGAGAAAGAGAGGGAAAATGAAAACACGTCATTATGTTGGATGTGCGGACTGGAAAAAAGTCCTCCAACTTGAAAAGCACTAGTCTGCACTCCATGTAAGACTCCGTAATGCGTGGATCCCCCACCTGCTGCTTCGAAACGTCGCGCACGAGGATGTAAAAATACGAGAATAGGAAATATCTTGTGTTTTCATTCACGAGGTAGCTTGTGAGAACCATCGGCTTGTGGTCGAATAGCCTCACGTTGTCGTCAGCCTCGTCAATGGGTAACGTGCACTCATGCGCGTTTAAAGTGGCAATCAAAGCATCAATTATGTAGGTGAAAAACTTGTTAATAGTACTCTCATTTACAATCACTAATAACGTGTACAAAACGAGTAGGATATATTTTTCTTCCTTTTTCTCAAACACGAGGAGTAGACAGTGGAACATTTTGCTGAGCGCGTAATTCTTGTAATCATTGTAATCATTGTTGATGCTGAAGAAGAAAAATAAATCTTCCAAAACGAGGAAGTTATTTTTTTTAATTTCATGTATGTATTTTTTTAGAAGTCTTTTCTTATCACCGCAGCTGGTTATTTCGCTGCACTTGGCTTCCTGAAGATCGCCGACATATTCATTAATGTACTGCTTCAGCGCAGTTAGAAGTTCATCTTTTTGGAAGTCCTCAGAAAAGCATAAATTGAAGTCCAGTGAATTGTTCTTCTGGCACTCTCCGGTAGGTGGACAATTCGGTTTGGTTTGTTCAGCATCATAATCGCCATTGCTTTGGCTGCTTATCCGTCCTCTCCCTTCTGATTCCAATATTTTGTCCACATCCCCATGTGTATCACTTCCCCTTGCGGGGTAATCCTTACAGCTTAGTCTGTTCCCCCTTTTGTAGTAAAGCAAAGCCTCGCTAATGACGCTATCGTATTGCTTTGCTTTCTTTTTTTCTTTCACGGGGCTGAAGCTGTATTGAATCATTTTCTTATTCGAGAGTCAAGAAAAATAAATTAACATAAATGCAAAGAAGGAAAAAAAAAAAAAAAAAGAATTACTACTCCTAGGAATGGTAGAAACTAAATGGGGTGTGTGAAAATGTGGAAATGTTCCTAAAGGGGGTCATTCACCGGGGAGAGGGGAAAAAAAAAAAAAAAAAATATATCCATATATAGGTATATACATATACAAATCCCCGCAGAGGAAAGTTCCCAAAGCATCTTCACAGTTAACCAAACAAACGTTGTGCCTTTTTCCAATTTGCGGAGGGGTCTTGTGCAGAAATGTACTTTCGAGTCGATGGTGCTAACTGGGACAGCGGAGCCGCGAAGGGAATTGCACCTAAACATTTCACTGTTGACGGGGTGGAGACTCCCTGTCTGTACATGCACCCGTGTAATATATACATGTTTTCCGCGTGGAAAAAAGGACCTCAATGCAATTAACCATTCTCCTGTGCGAATGTTTTCCATACTGCTGTTAGTCGTTGATGTCGTTTGCCAATGCCACCCGCACCCACACCCGCACACTTTGGTGACGTGGCTCTTTGAGGGACCCCTGGTAAGCCGACCAACCATATGGTGAACGCATGTTATTATATCATTTTGTGTGCACTTTTTTTGCTTATTTTTTCCCTCTTACACCATAATGCGGACTCTCGCCGAGGGGGCATTTCCCTCGCCATTGAGCGGCTTGGGCTGGACTCACCCCGGTCCAATTTTTCATTCTTTTCAATCACATAAAAATAGTCCACGTAGTTACCGCAAAGGTGTATGTGGTGACACCCACTTAGGGGTGTTCTCCTGAAAATAACTCCCTGCCAAGTTTGCCACTCATTAGCAAATTGCCTACTATGGGGTGTAGAAAAAATGGGGAGCGACAAGGAATAACACAGCGGGGCGAGATAACACCTGGATATTTGTACATATATGCTTAATAAGGATGGCTTTCCCAAGGGTGGAGTAGTCCCTACCCTGCGGATTCTCACTCAGACGTTGCCTTAATATGTTTTTACGCCAAAAAATGGAGGGAGTTTTTTTCCACTTTTTTAAAATGATGCATAAATGGCTTCGCAAAATGATCCGCAATTTTTAGGCCGCCGGTTAGCTTTTCCATTACTTGAGTTTGTTTTCCTTCATAGCATCCTTCTCCTTCCTTTTGTTTTTTTCTTTTCTTCGTTTATATAAAGAGAAAAGGGGGGCACAAACAGCGCATATGTTAGCAATACGACATGTTAGCAATACGACATGTTAGCAATACGACATGTTAGCGATACGCCATTTTAGCCATGTGCTATTTCAGCACTGTGCCAATGCAGCCTCTTCAGCGGAGTTGTCCTCGCTAGCGGGTTAACTCTTCAATTTTGGATGGCATAGTAACTCCCCAATTGAACACATACACGTGGAAAGCGTTTTAGCCATTTTTGCTTACGAGGACATGGCCCTACAAAGAAAGGGCACAGCTCAGCACGTCCCCACGCCGACACACACCAAATGACCGCCACGGCAAATGTGTTAGTTCTGTCCCCCTTCTTAGATGTGTTTCCCCCAGAATGGGCATAGAGAGCTACTTCCTAAAGTACGTTAAGGCGACGTACATAACGAGGAGGAGAAGTGAAATGAGGAAAACCATAGAGAATTTGAAAAATAATATTTACACGTACAACAATTACAGCTGTAAAAATATAAAGTATCACATGGGGGAAGAAGATAAGTGCGATAGGAGTAGCCACTACAGCGTTCAAATTGATGAGCAAGTGGAGAAGGTGATGCGTTTTGTTAATCCTCTCCCGTTTTATGAGGAGAATAACACGTCAAGCAGCCCTCCACAGGGAAATAATAATCAGACGGAATATCCAAATGAAGACAAGCATGAAAGATTTAACACAAGTCAGCCGTATCGTGACATGGCATGCACTCACACGGAAGGTAGTCCCAACACAGAGAGAGGGGAAGATCCACCAGAAGGAAAAAACAACACATACATTTTAAATTATCGAATAAATCACATCGTAGGGAGAAGAGGAAAAAGGGAACAGTACAGATACACCTACTTGAAATCCCCATTCAAATACAAATATGCATTAAGACATTACGTTTTTGAAAAATATAAATATCATTTCTATTTTTACAATATCACTCACTTTAACATTCATATAATTTTTAACATCATTTTATCCTCCATGACAAGCCAGACTTCGGTCAAGTGCAACATCCACTGGTTCTACCCTGGGAGGAATTTATTCGATTCTGAATTTTTGAGAAGGTGTTTTCTTCCCTTGATGGAGGGGAGGCCCGATCGGCCCGAGGACCGTTCAGAGATCAATTCGTATTTGCAGAGACACATAGAAGAGGCATACAATAATGCGGTCAATAATGAAGCGGGTAGCAAATCATCCTCCCCACGGAACTTTGACATCAACTTAGACTTGACAAAATATAATATACAAAATTTGTTACCCTTGTTTTTTCAAAATAAATCATTTAGTCAGAATTATAAGAATCTGTTCCTACTGGAAGAGAAATGTTTCAAAAAAGTGAAAAGCAAAATTAGGAAAAAAAATGTTCACTGGTTTCTGAATAAAAATCCAAATGGATAGACAGTGCGCGCCGTAAAGGTGGGAGATAGACCTCGTCAGGGAAGTGGGCTCACCACTCGGCTGCAGTAAGACAGGTTCTAATTAAACGCGAGTTGGAGTGTGCCTAGCTGCATGTCTCCCCAAGCGCTCCAAAGTTATAAACCAATTGAAGGGCGTGCCAAATGCCCATTAACACAAAAAAGACGAAAACAAAGAGTAGCTACAAAAAAAAAAAAAAAAAAGCACATAAGCACATAAACATAAAAATTAATATTAATACGTATCTGTGACCGCGATCCGGCGTGGAGTAGCGGCTGCCACCCCGTTACCGCTTCTTGAATCTGCTCTTCGGAGTCATTTTCTCCCCTATAATGAAGGACGAATTCTGAAGAGGCAAAAAAATGTCACACATAAATAGGCACGAGGATTCCCCCACCAGGATTGCATAGCAGTTGTATGTTCGCAGTACCAATGCAGGGTACACACCCAAAGGTTCTATCATTTGAGCACGCCCTCATCGCACAAATGACGCACATGAAACTGACTACAGCGCGGCGTGGCCGAAGCCGTGGGCACATTTTCGCCTTACCGTCATTCCAGAATTTTGAGAGAATTTCGCCACTACCTGTTTGTGGAAGGATAAATCGGTGATCTGAAAAGAGGGGAGGCGCGAAAGTGGAAACAGATTAACATACAGAATGTAGAAACGCACCAACACACTTCGGACGCGCATGAGGGGGAGCCGACTCAACCCCCCCAACACACACACATACGTGTGCCTTGCTAACTCCATACCTGCTGGTTTAGCTCGCGTATAATTTGCTGCTTCTCCCGTATTATTTTTTTCTTCTCCTCTGCCATAGCCTCCTGGTTATGAATTTCTTTCTTTTGATCCTCACACAGTTTTGCATTTATAATTTCGACATTCCTGAGCTGCTGTAGCAGTTCAGCATTTGTTTTGGCCTTCTCATGAAGAATGCTAATTTTTTTTTTAACTTGGGCTTTCAACTGTTTGTTTCTTTCTTGTGCCATTTTTAACTCATTCAAACATTTGCTCGCTTCCCTTGAGTTGTCCTTGTTCACATTTTCATAATTTAATTTCAAGTCATAAATACAGGACATGAAATGGTCTCTCTGACTTTCCAACAAAGCACTTAACAGTTGATTGAATTCGTAAATGTACATGATGATGTTTTTCTTGTCTATGATTTCTTCTTTTCCATTGACGTTTATATTTGCTGAGTCGATTTTTTTCAAATTTTTTTTTCCACTTTTTAAATTTATTAATTTTTTTATGTACAAGTTGCTGCTGTAATCGAACACTGAATTTTTGGAAATGTCGAAGAAGTAGTTGTGCATCGTTCCGCAAAAATGCTCCTTTGCGTGGTCGATGAGTTTTTTCTTTTTTCTTTTCTCAATGGAATGCTTGCGGGTGTTCATGTCTCTCCTGAGGAAGTCGTACTTGTTGAAGGAGCCCCCTTCGCGCTCGGCTCGGTCGCTTTCTTCACGCGGTGATCGATGCCCATGCTGCCTACTTCTCACTCCACTTGAGCTCCCCTTATGGACCTTCTTTTCATGCCTAGCGTTTACCTGGTTGGTTTTCGCTGCATCCATTCTGTTTTCACCTTCTCTATGCCTCCACCGGCGTTTGGTACCTTTTTCCTTCTTATTGTCCATCCTCATCAGTTTTCTGAATCTGAGAAGGAAACTGAGCGAGACATGCCTCGCCAAGTTCCCCCTATTCCACCCACATGTAGTGTTCTCTGTAGAGAACTCCAACCTTTCGACGACAATTCTTTTTTCGGCACATATGTGTACCTCCGAATTAGCATCCTTACCGTTTACACTACGCATTTGCAAATGGGGGCGGACTCCATCATTTTTTGTTGAGATAGGGAGAGGGTCATTAATTTTGTTTGCATTTTCTGCTTCACTTGGGACTCCCTGGATGGGCACTGTCAAATGATTGGATACTCCCTCCCTGTTGACACTTGCACATTTTGCATTCAAATCCAGATGGGTACTTCCCACTCCTTGGGTGCACTTTTTCCCATTTTTCTCCCCTTCAAAAGTGGCATTACATATAGGTTCACTAATGGTAGTTCTTTTTCTTCCCACATCGATGGGCTGGCCACAATCCCACTGACGATCTAGACTTGTAGCTACAACCGGAGGCACAACAATGTAGTTTCCCTGGTTTATAAAAAAATTTACAATTCGTAAAAAGATGTACTTAATGTAAGCAATCAATTTTTTTTTTCTTCTGACGAGATTTCTTTTTTCCTTTATCTTTAGTTCCTTCAGTTTGTTCAAGCGATCATAATTTATAGAACATCCAATGAAACCACAAAATAAACAAATTTTTGCATTTTGGTTTCTCTCACATACATCGCAATTCGCTATCTGATAATTGTACTGTTTATATCGGCAGATTGGACAAGATGTGAAACAACATTTTTTAAGACAGCTCGAATGGAATATGTGACCGCATAGAATGTTAATGCAGACGTTATTAAAAATTGTTTTCCTCTCACTTTTTTTTTTTTTCTTCATCTGATTGTTGTACTTCTTTTGTATATTATGGATAAAGGAGATAACGGATAAATAGTAGCTCCTCCGGTCATTAGTGGTGTAGCTACTCAACGTCTTAACGCAATAATACTGGTGCTTCTTCGTTTGCTTCCCCAACGCTTCTGTTTCATACGGACGCCCGTTCCTTCGCGTATTGCTGCGCCTGCTGCTTTGGCACCTGTGGTAGGTGCGTGAGCTTCTGCTGCTATTGCTCCTACTTCTTTTTTCGCACGGCTCATTCTGACCGTAATACGTTTCGCCAAAAATGGTAGCACCGGTGTTGGCGGCGGGAACCACAACAGCGAATCCGACGCGACTGCCAACTTCACTGCCAAGGCCACTACCAACGCCACTGCCATCGCCGCTGCCACTGTCCTGGTTCGATGGCGACCGGTCCCTTGCCTTGGGTTCCCCTCTTTTCTGCGTTGCAAAGTTTAAATTAAAAATGTGCGATATTACCTTACTGAGGCTGTCTGAGTACAACGGCTCCAGGCAAACTGCACAGGAGAGCTGTAATTTGTTTTGGGAAATGAGATAGAGGGGGTTGATAAATCTGCTTCTGCGCGACGGCTCGATGTTCTCATGTGTGCGCGGGAAGGTATGCTCACCGTTCCGATTCTCCTTCTGGTTAGGCCTCCCGCTTGCCTTCTCATTTGAATCCCACTCTCCCCCCTCCTCGTAAAACGTCTTCACTCGTACCATCCGTTGCGTGTTCTTCTTTATCCTCGAAGTGGCGTTCATGGTGATGTCCTTCACGATGTAAACTTTTAATCTTTTCTTTTTTTTCATGTTAAAAAAACTAATCCTCTTGACCTTTTTCATGATTTTCCTTGCATACACATTGAACGTTAGGAAGTATATCATGTACTCTTCATTGTTTTTTTTGTTTAAAACTTTTAAAAAAAATATGAAATTGTCAAAGGGGTGTAGGAGCTCAAGGAACTCCGAGGGGGATAAACAGTTGGATACGTTGACGCAAAGAAGAACGGATATAGCCATTTGGCCTGGGGTGTAACGTCCCTCGCTTAGCTTCCTCCTCAAATTGGAACTATCGTGGCTACCATTAACACTATTGTGCGGGCTGCCATGTTGAGTGTCGTGGAGGCTACCGCGGAGACTGCTGCGGAGGCTGCTGTTCGTGCCGCTAGCAGTGGCAGAGTTACTTCTGTTCTCCCTGTACAGACAGTAGTTCTTGAAGCAGCGGATGTAGCCCGTGATGGACTGAATTTTGGTGTTCCCACAGTTGTAATTGAATATGTAGTACCTCCTCTTTGTCTTCGATATGGTTCCTCTTTTAGTTATCATGCCACACAAGTCGCTGACCACTTCGTAATCCTT